GCGGTTGCATAAGCCCGCTTTAATGCTTTTTTAAAAGCAGAAGGGCGGGCTAAAAAAGAAGGTCGACGTCAGCGATTTCAGAGGTTGCACTCTCTACAAATCGTATTGACCCTGTGCAAAATGTGGGCGTCACCAGACAATGCTAGGCCTGTGCGATTATTGAAATTGATCGTAATCGATCGATTATGAAAATAATCGATACGCGGTTCAATTCCGATGTTGGAAATAGACAATCGGTTTGTCAGACGATTAATCGAATAGAACCGATGAATTGGTTAATCGAAAGCCAAAATCACGTCCAATTAATCACCAAATTCAATTTATCGGAAGTATCGTTGAATTCAAGACTGTCAATTTAGGATGGTTTCTGGTCAAATAACATTTTTTGCGTCGAACCGTTCTTCCTGAAAGAGTGGGAGTGAGATAAAAACTTTTCGAAGTAAAAGAAAGGACAAGGTGTTCAATAAACACTTTGCAAAGCAAAGGAGAATAGGGAACATTGATTCAAATTGAAATTATAAATTAAAGCTTTCAGCAAATGTCTATTAAAAAAATATCTAACTAATTGGGTCATTTTCTTTCAACATTTTTAAAGGCAAATGAAGATGGAGGCGTCTGATGAGCACCAATGGATCTCAGTTGTCAATAATGTATTCGCTCTTTGAATGGGAATGACCTTTAATCACACTGTTAAAAAAAGTTGTAAATTTACGACATTTTTAGCCCGCTCTTTTGCTTAAAAGCTATATAAGCGGGCTTATGCCATCGCCTCTGTGTCTGTCTGTCTGTCCGTCTGTCCGTTCCCCAAGAAGGGCGTGAGCTAGAGGTCTGAAATTTTCAGGGTATTATTGTTGTCACTTCTGGACAACGAAACGGTTGGTGCAAATCCTGGCAACCACCCCTGAGTGGGTCTGAGGGGGTAACAAAGAAATAGGGGTTGGTCCAAGAAGTGGAAAAAAAATATTTTTTTTATTGTCTCCTGAGGGGTAACTCGTGAAAGTAGAACCCTTTTGGCTAAAATTTCGTCCGTTTGGCTCTATCTCTCACCGTTTAGGCGCTAGAGGGAGTTTTTCTGACAAAAGTGGCCCGAAAACAATATATTAAGTTTAGAAAATATTCGATGGTTTCCTAAAGGGGTAACTTGGGACAGTAGAACCCTATGGGCTAAAATTTCGTCCGTTTGGCTCTATCTCTCACCGTTTAGGCGCTAGAGGGAGTTTTTCTGACAAAACTGACCCCGAAACAATATATCAAGTTTAGAAAATATTTGATGGTTTCCTAGGGGGTAACTTCTGAAAATAGAGCCCTGTGGGTTAAAATTTCGTCCGTTTGGCTCTATCTCTCACCGTTTAGGCGATAGATGGAGTTTCTCTCACCAAAATGGCCAAAACAGAAATATTTTTATTTTTTCAGAAGTACACTTCTGTCTGAGAAGTATGCGGCCGGTTCAAAATTTTCTTCTAAGCAGAAGAGTGGGCTTATTTTATGGTGGCACATCATTAATAAAACGTGTACACTTTCATGCAAAAAAAAAACAAATTTAGTTTTTTGTTGTTTGAACACGTTCGGTGTCATTCAGAGTATGCCTGGAAGTATATTTAACTTCTAGGTCTAGTCTTATGTACATTTTCATAGGTGTGATATTGGATTCATAAGCTAACATCAATAACTTAAAATTTCAGCATAACTTGCATGTATTCTACAAACTGCGGCACACACAGCCAAAGATGTTCAGCGTATGAAAAGAATACTTCGTTTGTTGAGTTTTACTTACGAAGTAGACAGAAAAGGTACCTGGCAAAAAGATGGTTCGAAGCGAGCCGTCACTCAAACGGGCCAAGGCCCGTTTTCGGATAGAAGATGTATTACACCATAAAAATTCAGAAGGGACGGGCCGAAGGCCCGTCCCAAACGCCGCCGGCAGGCCAAGCTGGGCCCGCTCCCTGCCGAACCGAGTTGCCGGTGGAGCGAAGCGGAGCTGGCAACTTGGTTTGGCGGAAGAGCGGGCCCAGCTTGTTTGGTTCGACAAGATTGTTAAATTACAATTCAAGTTGTTTTTTTTTTTTAAACGATGAATATGTCGTTGAAATCTAAACGATTGGGATGTTGTATTATTACAACACGCTCGTCTTATAACAAAAGATTTTGTTTTATTAAAAACGACTATACGCTTGTTAAAATACGAGTCATTTGTAAATTGATGACAAAGTAGTTGTAAGTTACTACTACTACTACTGTCAAAAGAAACAGGTAAAATTAATTGACTAGCGTTTCTTGACAACCCTATTTTTTCCCGTGTCCGGTCGGAACAAACAACGGAGTGGCTC